TATATATATATATATATATATAATGATGTTGTAATACAATAATAAAGAATTGCCTAAACTCAATTCATTTTCAAAAGAAACTCGATGGAATGTGGAAAATACTTCCGAAGCACCGATTTGTTTTATATGTGGACGCAATATAAAGTATGTTATTATGACAGTTCTCATTTAAGTTTAGCATTGATTTTAGTGCAAGATATCTGAATACGTTCCGATTTGGCGGAGAAATTTTGGCTCTCCAGAATTTCTAATGAAGGTTTTGTTCCTACAAATCCAAACATAAATTGCCAATTTATCACATTAAAAGCATTTCTACCGATGCAATAGACTTTACCTGATCACATATTGCCAGTCGAATAATATCTTAATTTACACTAGCATATTCAAATTTCTTTCTGTTGGTCGATATATAATGGTCATAGTAACTTAACATCATTGCCTAGAAAAAAGCAGAATTCAATCTTATCCGCAAAATGATCATAAATAAACAGATTTTCATGACTAAATGGGACAGCAGTTATATTGGCTTCACAGGAATAAAATAACAAACTTTTTTTGCCCGCTGTTCTCAATGTTGTCAATAATTTGGGAGGCCGTATTTTAATGTTGTGTTGGAAGAAGAATTGTAGAGGGACACAAGGGCTTCAACTTTCCTCCATGACGCCGTATGCTGAGGAGTATAAAAACCCGCAGTACCGCAGCAACAAAAAGTCTATGTGTAGAAATAGTTCTTTGTGATTTTCGCCGAAAAAAAACTAATCTGGAAATTGTAGTGCCAAAAGTCCTATCCAAATAATCTAAAATAAACTCAGAATTCTTTTATGATTTTAGGTGGAGGCTTTCGAGAAGTGCATTTCTTCATGCACTGAAATTTTTTGACTTTATGTAAAGTTGCTGGTTCTCATTATAACACCTTACTATCTAATTTTTAGATGATGATATTTATAAGTAAGGGAGTGAATTACCAATTGAAAGCCTATTAAAAATGAAAGTAATGAATTTAGCATAAACAATTAGAGTTCCTAAATCGTCGTCACCCAATGGTAAGTTGCATAAGAAAATAAAGTCATTTTCACAGATCCTATCATTTCATTTTAGTTAATTCATTTGATACACAAATAAAATTGGTCATGAAAAAATTTTTTAGATGTATTGAATGCATTAAGATGAAACCATCGTAAAAGTTTACTCAATTAAGGAATTAATTAATTTCATTTTATCATTTATCATTGCAAGAGTCACCGTTACCCTGAATTGGTCTCTTATCCAAAATAAAACTTTCGTCATAAGCACTTTAATAACCCTAAAACGGTAGAACATCTACAAAATCAAACACAATGAACGGAGATGGATTAGCTGATATACACAATCTGCTATTCTGTCCTTATCCTTGCATTAACTGATAATTAATGAATTTGGATAGATTTTAGCAACAAGAGTTATCACGGCTTCAATCATCGTTATTTGGGAGTATGTTTTAAAATTCGAGCACTTTAGAGGAGTGATGTGTCGAGCATTTGATCGTACAATACACAGTGATTGCTTTCAATGTTCGACGTGCGGTAGCTCGCTCAAGAACCAAGGACACCATTTTATCAACGACAAATTTTATTGCGACATCCATGGCCGTCAGCTTAGAGGAGGCAATAACGTCGCAAGGCGTGATGAGACCCATTGGTCTACCGCGTATGTTAATTTTTTAACTCTTCGATAGTAATAGATTCGATGACAATGGATCAATTCTAAATTCAATTTGATGGGCCGTAAAGGAAACAGAAAGCAATATTGGAGATACTTTTTTCTTTGCTCCCATCTTACTAGATCCTGTTATCACTTTCGCTTTTTTTTACTCCTCTCTTATTATTCCGCCACCATTTGTAATGTTACAGAAATATTATTGCGATTCTGGATTAGAATCATACAAGAATAGGCTCCAAAATTTGGTTACAAAACATTTGGTAATGTACAATTAATAGCAAATAACAAAACGATCATAGTGGTTGACAATGATGATAGAACTATATGTTAACTACAGTAATGCGACAGTTGAGATCAAACCTTCAAACGGATTTCAGAATACTCAGTTTCGCTTAAATGAATTGGTTAATAGAATGTAAATACAATAAAAGATGCAGAAACAAAGCAGAAGAAATCCGTTTTCCATGATTGTCAGAGAATTCTCCGAAATAAGCAACTGTTTCAAATTTTTATTTTCCAGACGGAGGCCTAAAATGATTCCAACTTCTGACAAAGACACTTTGCTAACTCCATATCAGCCGGATGTTTCGACTCGGCAGTCGATTTCAATCAGTCCAACACCATGGAAGACACAAAGTCCCATCAGGTGCCCGACTAATTTTTCGAATTTCATTTCTTTTCCAATTTTTCATTTCCAAAGAGACATTTGCCAGATTTAGTTTTTTTGCCCGCATAAGATTCGCCTGCGATTGAAAGGATTTTCATTTTAATGGATGGCAGTAGCGTCACTTTAGTTTCGAACTGTGAAATTTTATATCTTTTATCCAAGTTTTCCACTTTTTCACTTAAATGGTCTAATTTAGGCCACCAGGAAGAAAAAATTATTTGTTTTCTGGTAGATAGACTAGATAATTCAGCCACTGCGTATAATTTTATGGAACAACAAATGTTGTCATGCATATCATTGGTGACACTTCGATTCCTTATCAGTTTTGAAATTCATTTGAATCCCTTATTATTTAATGATCCAGTTGTTAGAGGTGACAAAATCGCCAAGACAGTTTGCTAGAAAGGCATTTAGGCAATGAAATTAAGTCTCCCATTTTCACTTTTGTTTTTTTAATGGTCAACATTCTCACATTAGTTAGTTGGAGGCCAAATTCAACAGTGGCGTAAAATCTGTTGCATTCTCTTCCAATTTTCATTCCATATTTTCCTGATTGAAAATTCCATCAGGCATATTTAGTACGGTTTTTGCTTCAATTCTTTTTTAGCTTTGGTCTGTTTCCATTATTTATCGCTTTCAAAAGAAATTCCCTAATACAATTTCTTCCTGTAATTTGCATCCAAAAATTGTTTATAAAATTATGTGGGATAGTATGAATTGCATTCAAAGTAAAAGGCAACTCTGAAAACAAACATTTGAGTTTTTGATTAACTGATTAATTGATTGATCGTTGAAGACATCGCAAGATAAGTAATGTGATTGAAAACTCGGTCAGTTGATAAACATCAACAACTCAGGCCCATCTAATGCACGATTTACATATAATTAATAATTACCAATTCAAACATACCAGCTATTTGTTTGTTTTTCTGGAACAAAAGGAAATTGTTACCACGTGAGTGTTAAAACTATGTGATGAATCATATTTTTCAAATTGCGTGATGAATCATATTCCTCTTCACCATCCAAATAAAAGCACAGATAAATTAGTGATTTTATTTTTGGTGATCAAATAATGATGTATTATCGTTTGAACTGTAAAACACATTAATATGTGTTATGTCAAAATATCCACAACTGAAAGGAATAAAATTTCAGTCCAAGCAATCGAGGTGTGCCACCAGCAGCTACTCAATATGGTCATGAATTGAATGAACTGAGGAAGGAAATTTACAGTTCATCAATGAGTTCAGGTAAATGAGATTACTTCAGATGTATATGCAGCAGGTAACTAATCGGCTGAGAATAGACGACTATTGAATGGTGGTTCTGAAAGTGCCCATGCCAACATCAAAATGAAGTCGAAAAGCAAATTGAAGATTACAAGTTTAATAATTAGACCTTAATTTAGCTCTTGATAAAATTTTACGTAAAAACGAGAATTATGATTACCTGCCTAGACATTTGGTTATGATTGGATCTAACAATTATATAACTAAAGTAACACGCTTGCTTTTACATGAATTCGGATTTCGTTTATACAAATGTTTTAGATTTAATTTCAATCAATTATTTACGTCAAAGTTTGTTTCATAATCTTGTCAAACGTCCTTTGTGTACCAGTGTCATTGTATTCACGCAGGTAACGTGTACAATCAACAATGCCACAACCTTCGTGAGTGTTATTAAATCGTGTTCGATCTTTACTGCTTGAAATCCAGGAAGTAACGTCACCAGGACGACTTCCATGCAAACATCGCTGGCTTCCAGAATCCCATAAAATTAAGAGATATTGGCAATGCAGCTATCTGATTGCTGCTGCTTCTAAAGATTCGACTTTTGGCGAACCGGAACAAGAACTGCTCCTACCGTTGTCAAAATTTATCAAGGAAAATGTGGATAAGAAGCAAAAGCTCCCAAGTCCGAAGCGGTATCTGTTAAGAGGTGAACTAAAAAGTCATTTGAAGCTTATCAATCACCTGGGAAAGAATAGAATCACTGAAAATAATTTGGACATGGGATGCAGATATCATCTGATATCGTGTGATATATTTTACCAAAATCCGAATTATCCGGAACATATGGAACAACAAAATTGTTTTTTTGACAAACCGAGCTGTGATGTGGAACAGATGGATAAAGAACATATAGTGGGCTTAATCAATAATATGAATAGCAGAATTTGTAGCTATGAGTGTGATAGCTTATTAATCGTCGAATGGTATCAAAGAATCAGAACAAGTCAGACGTGGGTTACGACTCCTCGAAATAATGATCATAACACGGCAAATTCAAAAATTCGAGAATGCGAAAGGATGGAATATGAAAAGGAAGAACACAATCTCCGTGAAAGCGATATGGGCGTAGTAGACACCAGCAGTAGCACAGAAATGAGAAATTTTCCCATTAAGGAGATAAGTGATGGTCAGGCGCTGCCTAATAGAACATAATCATCCGATATCGTAGGTCGGAATTGGAAATATCGACCTAGGTACAATCGAAAAGGAAGGTCTAGCTGCTGAAATGAATGGGAACTTTATCACTGATGTGCAGAAAACTCGGCTTCCTCAGATATTACTGTGGATGGTCTGTCTCATAATGATAAAAGAGGATCAAAGGGAATGGAACGACAACATGCAGAGGGTGGAATATACTTGATGTTCATATTGATAATCAAAAGGTAATGGAAGTGGTTAGAGAAATGATCGGGGAAGGTAAAGAAGAATTTACGGGATCGGATTCCATTGAGGAACAAATTGCTATTGGAAGTATCACTCGTTATCAACTGGAATTACATAATCCGGGGAAAGAACTTTCACATATGCTTGAAAATGCCTATCGATTTTCTCAAAAATCTTGACAAGTATGCAAAAACTTCGTGCTTTGATGAAATTTTTTTCGAACTCTTACCAAATGACGCTTTGACAAAGATTTTACAAAGGCTGATTCCAGAAATTTTGAATTTGCGATATTCATTCTGAAAAAGATTCAGTTATTCATGCTAGGTAATCAATGAAATTATATATTTTACCTCAGTGCTACGGTAGTCTAACGTGGAGGACAAATTGATGGATGAAAATGGCTGTTATTATCAGCAACAACAGAAAAACGTAAGATATCCGGAAAGAAGCAGAACAATAAAAGTTGTGGAAAATCGGTCGAAAAATTATCGAGATCCGAATGGTGATATTTTTTTACGATGAAAATCATTTAGGCGTGTAAAGCCATCAGATCTAATTATCGAAATTCTCCATGAAACAGCATACGAACGAGGGTGTGTCTCATTCCAGTGGTTCCTATGTCGTTCCTCAATGCTCTTTTGCACCTTTTTTTTTTCGCGTCTTTACTTTTTCAGCCCAGTAATTTGATTATAAAGAAAAAAAGTGCGGATGTTATATGTAGAGAAGTTGACGCCTCATTTCTGCTTCAATGGTGGTTTAGTGATACCAGTATTATCATGAACCTGTGACCTGTAATGGTGCATCATGTCTTATCCACCAAATAACATTTTCGGAAGCTAACGGCAACACTCATTTAAAACAAATTAGGTATCACATAGGTAATTGTGACAATTCATAGATGAAACTAAAGTTCTGACAAGTTGCTGTTAAATGAATGTGTGGACAGATGAGCAAACAGATGGACAGGCAGGTACGTGTTACTTTCTGGTTGCTTTACTAATAAAAAACTAACACCTATATGATGAACGTTCTGAAAAGCCTAAATTTTTTAAAGTAATAGATATGTGGGAAGTATGTTATGCAGTGTAAACAAAAATGCCTATATACTAAACTAAAGCAGCCTTAATACTTCTTGACCTTATCAGTGGACATGACCAAGGTAAACAATGCAATCAGAAGGCCATCGTGCATTATTGAACACTTCTGAAAATCTGCAAAGTACATGAAGTTAGAAAAGCAAAACTATCGACTGCTTTCTATTCTTATAAGGGTGGAACAAATTCGCTGAAGATTCTTTGAATTTCTCCAAAGAGTCCAGTGAGTATTGATCGAAAGTGTGAAATTATTTCTGCAAAACAACTTCCTCGCTTAAATGCCTCGAAATTTAAACCACGTGATTTTTCCATTCACTTTCTTTTCATTTCTTTCCTTTCAATCCCATGCATTTCCCTGTTCCCATCATGTTTGAAATGCTTATTACACCGATACAAATCACAATTTGCATTCAAATTTCAGTTCCTGCAATTCACTCTCCATAACATATTCAAATATCTGTGATTACACATATACTGGCGACGACAACTCCTAAATATTGTTTGCTTCCCTCAATCACAATCTTCAACTTTTTAGCTTAAAAATAAACTGTTTTTCTGTTGTTCCGTCTCTTTAAAATTAGAATTCCGAAATTTTGCAGTCAATAGGAATCCGTATATTAAACCAACAAATCTTCGTGAACCGCAAAATGACGAACTGACGAAAGGTCGAGGTACACTTCATACTCAAAGTAACTGCGTATCACGCTGCGAAGATTGCAAACAAGAAATAAGGTGTGTTTAGATTCTCCCTTAATATCTCGAAACAAATTTTTGCACAAGTAATTTCAGAGTACAAATTAATATGAGGTACATATACTGAAAGTAATAATCCTAAATTACATAATACGAAGATATTGGTACTCAAGGTATATTAGTGATGATTAAGAGAGACGATGACAGCTCCTTTGGTAATATCGGCTTTCAAAAATCTGACAGCTGGAATTAGCGTTACTTTGCAGGGGCGCATACGTCTTAGCTAATGGATTAGCATATTGTCCAGATCATTTTATATGCTCCAACAGAGCATGTGGTCGCAAATTGTTGGATATTGGCTTTGTAGAAGAAAACGGACATAAATATTGCGAGCGTTGCTTCGAAACTGAAATTGCTCCACGCTGTGCCAAATGCAATCAGCCGATAACTGCTGTTAGTTTTGAAACATATCTTAAAACAGGTCAAAAATGCAGCGTGCAATCGATACTGTCGGGGTGTACAATTAGTACTGTGATGGCTTTCCTGAGCATTATATAAACCTATTTACTTTTATAATAAGTAGTCGTTAAGTACTGAACAATACTAGAAGTAGCGATGACAATTAAAGAACTGACTATTCGCTTGATTTCTTTTTACAGGATTGTCTAAATGCGCTTCAGAAACAGTGGCATCCACACTGCTTTGTTTGCACACATTGTCATAATCCATTTGGAAATTCTGCATTTTTCCTGGAGCAAGGACAACCATATTGTGAAACAGGCAAGCTCGTCATATTTAATTCAATAACCCACTAATTAGTCAAGCACTTCAGCTTACACTTTTGTTATCAAATAGCTGAGCGTTGATTTAAATACTCTTTCAAACATGCAACTGGAGAAAACGACTCTGGGTTTTAGATTGGAATACACTATTCACAACCAAATGTGTGTCATGCCATTACCCGATAGAAGCTGGCGACAGATGGGTGGAGGCACTGGGCGCTGCATTCCATTCAAATTGCTTTAACTGCACGGTATATTTATCATGTTGCATAGTTTCATCGAACATGTGCAGAAGTTTTAAACTTTAAAAGTGGAAACAAAAATAATCTGACCAGTACTGAAGACCTCTAGAATAACATTTCGTTTTGAAAATGCCAAACAAAAAGAATCAAAGAAACACAGTGCCTCTGTTCATAGATCTGATATATATATATATATATATGCTTGTCTATTTTTACATTCAATTCACTTCAGAGCTGCAATGTGAACTTAGAAGGAGAAAGTTTTTATGCCAAGAATGGAGCACCATACTGCAAATTACACGCTTGAAAGGGAATTATTTGAACTTTTTCTTTTTTATTTCTTGCTACTACTGCGGTATAATATGATGCTATTTTATAATCACAATGATTCAAAGTTCACTAAAGCTTGTTATAAATTCTATGCCATTTCCATGTGTCACAAGGTTCTGGACTTTCTATCCAGTGACTAAAGATAAGGTGATATCCATGAAAAGATTCTAATTATGCACCAGAACGAAATGTTGGAAGCATTAGACAGTTCAAACAGATCAACAAGCACTTCAAAAAATCAAACAAGTGGACGGATATGACTTCAGGTTCTAATCAGATATTTGTCGTTTAAACCTGTATTTCTTCACTATCCAGTTAAAATGACCGATATAAATGAGCATGATCGCCCGCAGCAAACCAGCGAAAAGCACCTGAATAAAGATGAAAAAGGATGAGTAAAACTCACGGAAAATAATTAACTAGGTAGCTAATCAATGAAGAAGTGAGGAAATCATAGCGGAGCCTACCAATACACTGACGATTCCTGAGATGGTTCAGAAAAATTGCAAAACAGAAAAATCAAAAGAGTCAAATGACCTGTGCAGCAGCCTGCAAAAAGCTCTTCTCTGGTGCACCACCCGCTGACAATATTCCAAGTGCCATTCCTTCCAGGCCAATGCACGTGTGATAATTACCACGAGAAAGATTACAAATGAGGCATTCAGCAACCGTTTCTGGTTTAAATAGTCCTGCGGTACCACTGATTTCTTTCAGTTCTTCTGGCATTGTCAATATTTCACGCTTAAAAATCACGGTCACAATAAAAGCCTTCGTCATTCCTTTCTAGATTTTTGAATTCCAAAGACATGTGGAAACTTTTCAGTGACTTGAATGATATTCTAATCATCGAAACACTACAATAATTAGGAACTTTTGAAACCTGATAGCCTTCGGTATTTGTATTTGGAGGATAGATTACCGATACTTGAACGTTATATGGAAGCAATTCCATATATAATGCTTCAGCGAAACCACGTAATGCGAATTTTGTTGCTCCGTAAGCAGTATATCCCCAAATCGGACATTGACCGGCTGCAGAATTCACAAAAATGATTTGGCCCTCACGAGACTTCTTCATTTTGGACACCACTGCTTTAGTCATATAAACCTGGAAGCAAAATTGTTACTACGACATTTTAATTCAGGTGAAGTTTTGCGCACATACTAATTAATCTTAACCATAAAAAAAGGGCAGAAATAATATGAAGAGAAAGCTTGAGATTTCTTATTTCATTTATTTATCAAAACATTGATATCGCCAGGCTCATTTTCGCTTTTTTTACCACTGCTTTCAGCTGAACAAGAGATATGACATTTTTCACGGAAGAAATTCAGAACATTTTGTGAAAGCTTATTAAACTTGATTGAAAAATTAAACACTGAGTTTTAACTTTTGTTCTCAGTCATTTTGTCTTTAGTTTGAATGACACTCAATTACTTATTATACTACAATAGGTCTCTCCACTTTCCCATCTTTATTATTGCACAAAAGCATACCGCACTTAAAAAATTCAGACACATTTGCTCCTCATATACTGATATATCGACCGAATCAAAAGCGCCTTGCATAGCATACCCCGCGTTATTTACCAAAATATTGATATCACCAAGTTCATTTTCCGCTTCTTCTACCACTGTTTTCAGCTGAACAAGTTCACAAAAATTCCCAAGGCAAAAACTCAGAATATTTTATGAAACTCCATTAATTTTGCTTGAAAAATTAGACAAACGCTAAATTTTAATTTTTATTGTTCTTATTTCCTATTTCGCCCTTATTTATAATGATATCTGGTTACTTATTATAAGATAGTCCTTACCACATTGTAGGTTGAAGTAACGTCAACACTGTAATATTTTGCAACTGCACCATTTTTCTCGGTTTTTGCGAGTACGTTCAATTCGTTACACACCAGTTCCAACTGTTCTACGTTACGTGCAGCCAAAGAAACAGAACAACCGCGCCGTATTAAGGCTACGGCAATTGCCTTTCCGATCCCTTTCGATCCACCTGTGAAAGTTTTGTTCTGCTTTATAATTTTCAAAAATAAAGAGTAGTCATAAAAACTTCAAACGAAACAATGGTTTACTGCAAAATCAAACTCTAAATTGTCCAATATTAATAACTATTACTGGAATGCTTTGGTAGCAGAGAAGTAAGAATATCTCGAAATTCCATAGCACCTATGAAAAAATATCTCACTGACATTAATTCAATAAATGATTTACCCGTGATGAATGCATGCTTCCCCTCAAATGATAGTGGCTTTTTTCGTGGTAACGAAATGTAAACTAAAATCAACAGTATGGCATAAATGAAAACTATTGCAAATGTGAGGCATGATATGCAGAAATAGATATCCATTTTACCGCGCTTGAACTTCAGTTAACTGAAAAAGAATTTAAAACAATTAGATCTCCGTAATTCATTTTCAGTTGATCTGAATTATTCGTTTGAAATAAAATTAGTATTTTACGACTTGAAAGAAAAACCAAGCAAAATTTTAAAACGGATTAAAATAATGTTACAAAATCGATATGGTAGAATCGCAGAATGCTATGTTCGATTTGATGTTAGAGAAGAAGTTCAGGATTTAACTATACCACTGGCGCATTTTAATTTATTTTCCTACTTGCATTTTTAACCATATTTCATGAGCCTGAAGTGAAACCCAATAAAAAAGTGCAGCCCAATAGTACACCGTGCTAAAAAGCCAACCGAATTAAAATGCAAAGCGATGGGTTTGCCAAAAAAGCGTCCATACACCGAAAGTGCTGCCCAAATGAGATTCACGTCAGATGCTTGAACGATCACAGACCCTTTCCGTTCAATCTCGTTAAATGGACCCAACGAATAATTCGGCGCAGTCTGACCTAGTATTAGTCGTATTGCTTCATTGACCAATACTTCAAAATCATGTCCAGTGAATGTACCCTTCAGTGGTACTCCGAACTCTCTGTAGTTCCCAACGTTCATAAACATTCAACAAAACTAATGGGAAGAATCCCAATTTGTTTAAGCAAAGCGACTATTACTCCCTATACTGAATTATTATCACGAAATTTATGGAGTGAGAAAAGAATGGAGCCGCATTTTCGAACTTTCTAAAAAGAAAATCTCGCTGTTTAAGATGGAAACACAAGAATAAATGTATATAATAAGCACATACATTTTAAATGTCAAGCGTCTCTGGCCTAATGGATTAATCTTTCCTGGCATAAAGTGCGCTCAAATTCGCAATAACTTCGAAATAGTTTTCGGCGCACGTCCTGAAAATTAGCAGGAAAAAGAATTTAACAGGAAAAAGTAATTAAATAAGAACATAACAAATATCACAATTATGCAGTTCAAAGTTAATAACTGCACAAATCCAATAAGCCATCCGATCTTTTCTCCATTTCCATTATCTTGCATGATCAAGCCCGAATTTCAGTACAGTTTCAGAAGGATTTTAAACCTAATCTACTTCAGAAAGGTAAGATATATATCAGTACGGAATTACTGGTGAAAATGGCAAGTTTAGAACAAATTTATTACTATTTATGGAAGCAACGAGTAAACCATTACGTTCGCATCGCAATCAATTAATTGCTCAGTTAAAAGCATACCGGTTTTAACTGATGTACCAAAGAGAATCATACAAAAAATAAACTGATAAGATGATGCATATCATTCTAATATATATAATTAGAGAATATATGTCACAAGGAACACATTGCAACACAACAAAGAATAGCATTTGGTTGGAATGAGTGCATGCTTCCATATTTTATCGTGTTTTCTTTAAAACCACCATTCCACGACCTCTTTTCGAGACTTCCAGACCAAAGAATTGCAAAATCCGACTGACCTGTAACAAAGCTCCATTCGAATTCCCAATGAATATGCAGATAATCATATTCATAATACCATAATGACCATAAAATATTCAGTAATGTTTAAACTCTTAAACGGTTGTATAACACATATCAGCCTAGTCATATACAGCATATAGCGATCGCTATTTGGTAATATGTCTCCGGGTTTTAATTAAATAAATTGAAAAAAGCTACCTGCCGATAACTAGTCCAGTTTTTCACAACAAGTTCACGTTGGCTATCGTCTCGAATAAACCGTTCTAGCTTTCGCTGCAAAGTTGCTGATGCATTACGCGTCCTGAAATTCATTTCTGCTCAAATTATGAAGTTGAAAAACATATAAAACGCAAGAGATGATCCATAAACCTTCAGATTCAACGGAAAGGTGAAATACCAGTTGGAAAATAGCTATGTAATATTAAGAATTTGAAGACTATTCACTTAATAAAGCGCTGCTGCCTCGTCGATGTTTGCGGAAGAGGAAAGTTTTGGTCTTCATTTACAGGACCAACCCAATCTGACTGCTCATCGTCAGCTTCGCGACCGTCGGAGGAGCAGGTCTCAGAAGATGACAATTCACTTGTTGAACACAAACCATCCCAGTCCATCCCTAAATTACTTTAATCACCAAATTTTCATAGTTCCTGAATACTGTTCAAACCTGGGACATAGAAATTGGGACCATGCAAGTATAAGGGTAGTACAGTATTGCAACTAGAAATACTTCGCCGCTTAATGTAGCAAGATGTCATCTGGAGAATGTTACCTTTGTTTATAGTGCTATGCTGAGAAACAATATCGACATCCATCTTTTCATTGACATTTTTTCTCTTCACAACCCTTTTCTTCCGTCTTATGCGTCCGAAACGTTGTTCCGCTTCTGCCTCCACTTGACTATCGGATTCAATCGTAACGGATGCAACGCGCTTTACTACCGTGTATTCAATTTCGCTTTCATCGTCCGTGTGCACCTCTTTTCCTTTGAATCTCATTACAGCCATATGAAAAGTAACCAAACATAGAGCAAGTTGCCAAAAATCAATGTCCACATTACTTTCAAGAACTGAAGTAAACTTAGAAATCAACAATTATCATACAAATTATTGGATATATATTCGCTTTTGCCATACACTAAAAATAATGCAAGAAAGACGTGATATCAAATTTTTATTATAAAGTTTATATCAACGTGGAAACATGGACAAACACAGGTGACATAAAAAATTATCGAAAAAACTGCCTAATGACTGAGACTTGGTACAAGAGCAAATCTACACCACTTTCAACTTAAACCACAACGAAATCAATAAAAATTAATTTAAAAAGATATGATACTAAAATAAATCCAAATGAATTTGATGCAAATCAAGGAATGAACGAGACATACTGACATTGTCCTGCCGTCATTGGAAATAATATAACTCAAGAAAAACTAAATGCAAGAGTTGATACCCTAATTGCGAGATTAATTTGCTAATCAAATTGAACTATATAGGAACTTCACTAATAATTTGGAGCCATTATATGCACAATTGTATGATTAATCAGAAAAAACTAAAAATTGTAACAATGACGGGCATTTCATTACGTACGACAAGCTCAAGTAAAATGTATTTTATTAAAAAACTTAGTGTTTAAGTTGGCTAATTTAATTAAAACAGGAAAACCACAAAAAAAAGAAATGGAGAACGAAGGAAAAAAAACATAGAACGAATCAGAAAGAATAATGAATGTCTAACTAATAAAAAGCTAAAGAGAAGATCACAAAACATATACTATCTAAACAACCAAAAAAAATTTTGCAGCAAATAACATATAATTTAACCTATTTTAATTTACTTCCATATGAAACGAAACAGAAATGCATTCCCCGAAAACAGAGTATTCATTGACATTCCTTGAATTCTAACTTAGTGTCCACGAGAGATTCAGACAAGTAAAAAATGTAAATCAAGATATAGTTAACCAGTCTTCCTCAGAAATCCATCCAAATAATGCCACAACCCATAGGATAAGTACCATTAGAAATCCATATATATTTCAAAATCCTGGATAAATACAATAAGAGTAAATGAAACTATTAAGATGCACTATGTTGAAGATTTCTGAGAGTTCTATAATCTTGAGGCATGCCTATCCAATATGCTAATTTTCGTGAGTCAACATGAGAGCTTGATCTTTATGAGTACATACATATGGGCCAGTGAAATACCTTGGGAAAAGCCTATTTGCATCTGTGCAATATAAAACGATGAACGTACCGGAAAAAACTTCAAAGTTCCCTAAAACCCATTAACATTAACTTATGATGTTTCACTGATGTTTAACAGCGCCTTGAACAAATTTAAATGATGTTCAGTTCTACGCACAGGATTCTCGTACACACAGGACTTGTCTTCTCTTATAATATTTCACAATTTTTATTCAGAAGTTTTCCACAAAAAATGAAGCATTCTACAGGGCCATTTTTGGCTGTTACAAAAAGGTTACGTTAATGAGCACATGATAATACATAAGCATCGTGCAGTTGTGACAGTGTCAACTCATTACAGCTACTGTTCTTGTTTTACTTTAATTTTATTCTTCTTAAAATCTTAACTCTGCATGTTTCAAACGAATTTTAGTCTGCTCACAAGCATTACACTCAAAAACGATGGTTTGAACTAACGGTCATCGATAGCTTGCAGAAAAAATAAGCTGACCCAAGGTTGTACCCTGCACCCCAAAAAGGGATATTAAGAACAATTAAGCCCTCCATCGGTGGCAATGGGATGACAATACCATCCACAGTTAATCCAATTTTTCGATCCAAATTAGCACAAGCGTGTTCCAATACAATCTGCAATAATGAACCAGCCAAATATGACGTGATCGAAAAAAGTAAACCTTGAGTTCCTGAACTACTATTTTAGCAATAATTCAAAAAAAAAGTTATCAAATAAAAATATGTTCTGAAACATCCTTTTTACCTTTTTTCCCAAAATTGAAGAACAGAATTTTATTTAAAAATCGCGATGAAACCATCTTAAGAACACCGTCACAAACTGATTACCTGGCTAAAAATTGATTTTCGAGGTCGATAAAAACAAGTTTTTTGCCAATTAGTCACAGTTAGCTATTTCACACATCTCCTTTTGTATATTTTAATGTTTCGTTTTTAGAAATTAAAAGGATCCAAGAATTTCATTTTGTTAATATATATAAATGTAAATATATATTTCAATTAATGGGAAAAAAAGTTATAATTTCAGCAGTCTAAAACACCACAAAATTTTTTTACGGTTACAATCTGAACAAATTTATCACATATCAGTTATTCGATTTTCATTCCTAACAAAGTCTGCTATGATTTTTTCCTTTCAACTATTACTAATGGTAAGTCTTTTTTTTTAGGAAGGAGGGAGGAGTAAGTCCACGACATTCATTTATAGCAAGAAATTTTTTAATGTATGAGCGTGCATTCACACTGTCGTAAAAACGAAACTTCAAACAAATAAATAATGAAATAAACTTCTAGTAAATAAATGTCAACAATAGTGTGAATCATTTAACCAATTTACATTCTTTAAAATTATTTCCCATACGTTTTTTTATCTTTGTCTAACAGAAATTCACATCTTTATTTTAATGACAAAGGATGTCCAATTTACATGTTAATCTTCCCATCTGATCTTGTTATAATGCTTATTCTGTAATTGGATCTTTACAGTTTCCTTTGTATCTGGTTTTCGGCTTTTTCTTCGCTTCCACGGATATTAGCGGGTGTTAATCAATCTCTTCTCTCGATAAAGGTTATGTTCCCTTACTGTTATGTATTTACAAGACAAACTGACTTCCTCACAAACTCCTTCGTACTAAGGGCTTCATTTGGATAGATAAGACTGGGATTTAATTACCCAAGTTTTGAGCTCAGCAAATAAATTATCTAGCAGTCATTATATTCCACGACACACACCAACAGAAACATAGTTTACCATACTGAATCGTTTGTTTTGGCACGAATACCTAACTGCCTTTTGTGAATAATATCAATCGTCCACCTGCCTAATTTCGCGATCATGGCACTTCTTATGTCACGGTAGATCTGCAGCCGGTTGAGGAAGTAATTTTTACTTATTAACTTTAGATCCATTGACTAGTAATAATAAAATTTAGGATGTCCCAGAAAAATGCAAGGACGCTAGGAAAAAAATTAGTTACCACTATCACCACTATAAGTCAAGAATACTCCGAACTAACGCTGAAGATCATTAAACCATCATATTTACAAAAAATTATAATCATTCAAAGACAATTTTTGTAAAAAACGACCTCGACGAAGTCGGTTGACTTTTCATGACCAGGTCCCCATCCTAAAGTCCTACTCAGATCACTACCAGTACCCAGTGGCAAAAAAGCCACGGGCAATTTCCGCTGCAATTAGCTGATAGTATCCAGAGCTAACAAAACTGTGCCATCTCCGCCAGCGACAATGATACGACAGTCCATGTCAGGATACATACTGATCCGCGCTGTCCTTATTCCGACTTGTAGAATATTTATAACCTGCAATCACGGACCTACTATCGTATTTTCCAAAACAACGCCTGTGACAAGCATATACAAATAATCATAAGTTTGCAGATTACTGATTCCAAAACATTAAAATTAGCATCAACGTCAAGACCAAATTTAAACTATGATTTTCTCCACTACCTTGAATGAGTTTAGTAATTCTTCCACTTGGACCGGATGAAGGAGCTTGCGAAATATTCGTAATGCAGCGAGTCCTTCCGCTTCTCCTCCTTTTGGATTAACGACGACGAAAAGTGGCTTTCATAACAAACAGTCAACATTGGTTGGTCGACAAATCGTATCAACAATTAACTGCAAAATTTACTAAAGCACTGAAATTTGAAAAATGAAGTGGACTTGGACTTGAATACTTATATACGTAGCAGATATTTATAGACACGTATATGTATTATGTGTATATATATATATATGCATGTATATATATATATATATATATATATATATATATATA